AGATTACTTTGTCGATAATCCACGTTTTGGAGAAGATATGTTTCGTCATCGATATCAGATGTCAAGAAGTTTGTTCATTCGTATTGTTGATGCAGTGAAAGATCATGACCATTACTTCCAACAACGAGAAGTTTGTTCATTCGTATTGTTGATGCAGTGAAAGATCATGACCATTACTTCCAACAACGAAGTGATAGACTTGGTAGAATGGGATTATCACCGTTATAGAAAGTAACAGCTGTTTTCCGCATGTTGGCATACGGTCTACCAGCTGATGCTACGGACGAATACGTTAAAATAGGTGAGTCAATAGCAACTGAAAGTATGACAAGATTTTGTCGTGCTATGGTGGAGATATTCGCAGAGCGGTATCTACGAACACTTAACGCTAACGATATTGCTAAGTTACTCTATATTGGTAAAAAACGTGGTTTTCCAGGAATGTTAGGAAGTCTTGATTGTATGCATTGGAAATGGAAAAATTGTCCAACAGCATGGTCTGGGCAATACACAGGACGTAGTGGGTCACCAACTATTATCCTTGAAGTTGTGGCAGATTATGATCTTTGGATATGGCACGCATATTTTGGTATGCCAGGCACCAATAATGATATCAATGTGCTGGAGTCATCTAATCTTTTCTCTAACCTAGCTCAAGGTATTGCTCCTCCCGCTCACTATGTTATTCAAGGAAAAGAGTATAATATGGGTTATTATTTAGCTGATGGTATATATCCGAAATGGGCTACTATTGTACAAACAATCCAACAGCCACAAGGTAGGAAGAAAAAATATTTTGCCATGAAACAGGAAGCATGTAGAAAAGATGTAGAACGTGCGTTCGGAGTTCTCCAATCACGATTTGCAATCGTGGCAGGATCAGCACGTTTTTGGAAAAAACATGTATTACATGACATAATGACTGCATGCATTATTATGCACAATATGATAATCGAGGATGAACGTGATCTTTATGCACCAATTCAAGAAGTGAGTGAAGCACCAACACCAGAAGTTGATATGGTAGCAGATGAAACTACAAAATTTACTCAATTTATTGCACGTTACGAAAAAATCAAGGATAAAGATGCCCATATTGCGCTTCGTAATGCATTGATAGATCATCTATGGGAGGAATACACTAATTCAGATAGTTAAGTGCATACTAAATTTGTAATTTTTATATTGTTGTTAATGTTTAATTATTTTCTTGTATTTTATTTTCTGTTGTGTTCTTGAATGTAATATTTTGGCAATATCAATAATAAAAATATAATATTTTAGCAATCAAGTTATTTTAATTAATAAAGTAATATTTTATTAGTTTAATTTTTTAAATAATAAATCATTTTGTTTGGAAAATATGTGAAAAAATAAAATTTGATATGTGGGGTTAATTGTTGAAATAGTTAAAAATATAGGGAATAAAAAATAATAATATAAAAGTAGATAAAAAGAAAGATACTAAGAATATTCTTTTTTGGTGCAAAAAATAGTGCAGTGGGTTGGAGATAAATTACTGTTAGATGTGACTTTTGCATCATTTTGATGCAAAATTTGCATCATTTTGATGCGATGGGTTGGAGATGCCCTCAGCACTTATAGCCAATCCCTGAGCACTTAAGCTCTAATGAAGTCGCACCCGAACCCACTAACCCAAAAAATCCGGAGCCGAAGAAGAACAAGAGAAAAATCGGCGATGAAATTCACGGACTCGCCGGTGATCGATCTGCCCATCGGCAACACGACCCTCCTTCCAAACTTCCCAACAAGACACACGCTCCCTCCACGTCGTGCACTCTTGTCTGCCCTCGCTCCCTCGTCCTCGTCAAATTCCTCGAGCGCCTGGCTACCCTCCCCCCAAAACCTAACCCTAACCTTACTCCTTTCTCCTCTCCGATCTCCCCTCAAGCCGCCATCGAGCTCGGCTCCGGCTGCGGCCCGCCGGCTCGGCCTTCTCCTCCTCGGCCTGTCCGACGTCCTCTCACCGACATCGCCCCCGTCTCTTCCCGCGCTCCGCGCAGCAACATCAAGCGAAACCGAGCGAACCTTCCGCAAAAAACCCTAAGTTCCAACAGCTCTACTGGAACAATCCGACCAAATTCGGCAGGTTAAGCTCCCTTTATATTGTCGTGGCTGCTGATGTCGTTTACATGGAGGATTCTGCTGCTTGGCTGCTGGAATCCGCGATGCGAACACGTTGGTTGGTGATGACGGAGTTGTGCTTTTGGGGTATCAGTTGAGGTCGCCGGAGGCTCATCGGATCTTTTGGGAGAAAGTTGAGAGGGTTTTTGAGATGCGGAAGGTGCCGAAGGAGGATTTGCATCCAGAGTACGCTTACGAGGAGACTGATGTTTATATTTTCAAGAAGAGCAGGTTGGAAGGTTCGACGATTGCTTGATAAGGTGCGTTTTTAGTTAATTTTATTTTCAGATTCTTGTTATGTAATGCAGATACTATAAAGCTCTATACTTTTATGTAGCAGTGTCATGATTATTTAGTTTCGTTCTTTGTCTCATGCTTTATAGTTTGGAAATTTTGGATGTAGTTCTATAAGAGAATAGTGAGGAACAATCTTTTGTTATGTTCCTACATTGAACAAATTGTCTTGATCTTGATAAGTTAGGTGTTTCTGTTTAAGGCCAGAATCTTCAACTTGAGACCTCTATTAGTCCATGGGATGTCCAAATAGTTTTTGTGAAATTTATTGTGAAGAGTAATAAGTCTTGGATGTGGATTCGATGGAGTAGAGGCGAGAGATTTTTGTTTTTGGTTGTTCAGGCATATGCAATAGAGACATACTGTTAGCTGGAGTGATACTTTTGTAGTTGAACGAATTGCTAGGACTCGTAGTAGGCCATAGTGAACTTGGACTGAGGCAGCAAGTAGTCAGTATTAAGTTATTAACTTGGCCGATGAAATTGATAAAAGATTGTTGTTATTGAGCAGAAATTCTAAGAGGGGGGAAAAATTAAGATAAAGCAGTATGGTTGTAAAATCCAGTGGTTTCAGATTTAAATATGTGAGAAAATATTTGTAATTCTTTAGGAGAAACCCAAAATTGGCATCTCTGGTGGAGACATTAAGAAATAGCAGTATCGACCTTTATCTGAAACCACATTAGGAATCAGGGGGAAAGGAATAGGTTAATGAAAATTATCTTGTGGCGAAGACACAAACATACACTTACTACGAGTTGACAATACTATAGAAGAAAGTGGATTAACTCTTTTAATTTAAACATTGTCTTTGTTAAAAAAAAAACGCCATAGAATACAATTAGGACTCATCTTAAAACCTCAAACCTTCAAATTTAAACATTTCAAAAGCTCACCTACTTTAAACAGTTCACTCAACTAAGGCTTGTTGAGGTTGGGTAGTTACAGTTTTTTCGCTGCCATAAATTTCGATGGAAAGAAGACGAGAGAAATATCGGTCTTCAGAAAATGAGATTGGGTAGTACAGTGGTCAATTGATATGTTAGCAAAGGGGGCAAAGGGGTTAGGACTTTAGAATTGGGAAAATAGATTTGACTTTTGGAAGAGAAAGAATACGTGGCACTAACTTAGAATTGACCAGATCAATGGCCTACTTGATGAAGGTTCGTAAAAATTGTTCATGGAAAGATATGGATTAAAATATTTATTCTGAATTAATTTTACGGTATGTCGTGGACCTTTTAAAACTGGCCATGGATATGAAGTCATCGTTTATGATTGTTTGTGTAGTCCAGCATTCTCTTAATGGCTTGAGACTGTTGTAGAAAATTTGTGGATGCAATGTTTATCTTTGGAGAAAACTGGTTTAGTCATAAAGTGTAGCAATTATATTTATATCTGTTTTTAGTGTTGATCATCACCATATATAATAATTTAAGGTTTTTCTTTTGTTTTTGTGTTAAAGCATGGCTATATCAGGACATGACTTCGCATGAGGAAATGATTAACCTTTCTTTCAAAATTAAATGTTTGTGGATCCCCAATGTATAAAAAGTATAAAAAAAATCATAACTCCATATTATTCAGACGTATAGTGGAATATTACATGAATTGTATTGTATTGGAGTTGACAATTTCAAAAGGGTAAATTTCACTTAAACCCCAATTCCCAAATAGTTCGCGGTGTCCCACAAAACCCCCAAGAACTTTGTTTTTCCTACTAAAGACGAAAAACTTTCCTCCTTAACCCCTTCTTAACCATTTTTGTAAATGACCCTCATGATAAAAAAAAAACTAGACAATAAGAAGAAATGTGAGGGATTTTTTGGCCAAAAAAAGTTAATTAAAAAGGGTGAAAAGAGTTTTTTTTACTAAAATAAGGGTTATTTCGCACTCCGTGGGCTAAGTGGATATTTTGTAGTGGGAAAAATAAAGTTCTTGGAGGTTTTGTTGTTTATGCCCCCAAAGTATTGGGGGGTTTGTAAAATTTTCCCTTTTCTTCTTATGGAAAAAGATAAAATCACAACTCTCCATATTATAGGAGTAAATTTGTAGCTAGTGAACCCTGCTTTGATGAATTGCTTTCTTCACTCATGTTTCTTCACTCATGTTTGTCACGTTCTTTTCCTTTTAGCATTAACATGTATCGAAACAACTGTCACCATGCTGCTAGAGTTTTCAGTCATTGATCACTATGTCCATAATGACAACCTTTCCACCTTGGTTGGAGTAGAATCTTTACACTTCGAGGATCTTGGGACAATCTTCATTAGTCCCGTCATGCAACTTGAGTTGTAGTATAGAAGCTTGCTTATTAGATTACTAAATTTTTTAGCACAGGAGTGCCCAAATGTAAGCAGAAACTTAATAAATATTTTGAGTTGTGGTAAATTTGAAGGGCAAACGTTGTAAAAAATAAAGAAAATATGCCCATTATAATAAATTATTTAATTCATTGTTCTTTTTTACTAACGAGAGTGTATGAGTCCTTTTTAGCGCTAGCTGATCTCATTTCCCTCATAATTCATTGTTAATGATCAGTTATTAGTTCATCTTTCTTAATTAGTCTCTATTTTCTAGCAACATGTCTTTGTTGCACATCTTATAAGTGTCGTGTGTATTTAAGAAACATAAATTAGTTGCTTTGTTGCTAAGCATAAGAAAATTGGCATCAACTGTTGTGGTATGGTAGAATGTATTGCCTCCAACAACATTGATAAGAGGGTTCTCGGGTAGGGAACCAAGCACATGAGAAAGGTCATATACAGTGCACTTAAATTGGGGAATATCTTTGCTATGGCACAAGCAAGGTTCCTGTGCCCTGTCAACATTGACAAGGATGTTTAACTCTTTGAAAACCCCTTTGCACTGCGTAGCCACATACCTCATCAACAAACATGTATCTCTAATCAAAAATTGATTGACTAGCAAGTTGTACTTGGGGCTCTTATTGCTCTTTTTCCTCCCATATAGAGTTTCCATGTTCGAAATTGTGTCTGTAACCTAGTTGGTCAAGACTTCAACAGCTCGTGCCAAATGTGAAACAACTTCATAGCGTGACGTTGTAGGGTGCTAAGGTCCATGAGGTGCTGAGATTCATGAGGAAACATTATGCAACAATAAAACTACAAGAGCTTATCAGCAATTGGGCAATAGTATAGGGGGTCTATCAGCAATTAACCAAATAATATAAGTTATAATGACTGAAATTTGAATAATACAAATAATCGAAAGAATCAAATGTACATCTAGTTAAATTCTATTTTGTGCGTAAATCGAAAGCTAAATATTATTTATTTAGTGTTAAATAAACTATCGAATCAAGTATAGCTAAATAGTTAAACGAACTCCTATTGAACTATTAGTTAATTATGTGGTTTGTTTTTCTAATCACTCAGCAGTGGATTGTGATATTACTAGTAATTCAATGACCATTCAACACTGGATGTAATATGATAATATCTTAAAAATTTCCTGCATCTTATTATTTAAAAAGGTTTCATGATACGTTGATAGATGATTAAAATATAATGTGACGTTTAAATTGTGAATAGTGGAATAAAATTTTAGCAGTTCAAATGATCAACAACAGTCATATAAGAGTTTATATCGTTATTGCAGAGTGAAAGTTGATAATTTGTATGGAAGGATATAGTAGCATTTAACTATTGATAAAAAAATAAATTTAGTCTTCTATGTTAATACACACTTAAAAAAATAAAAAGAGAGAATTAACAAAAACAGTGCATCAACCTACCAAGAGTAAGGCATTGCTATGATGGACAAGTATCAAGAAGGGCCTCAGGAGTGCGTGCCACAAAAGAAAGAGAGGTCAAAAGGAAAAATTACCATGGAAAGATTAAATAAATATAAAGTAAAGTCATTAACTGATGACACATGAGGCGTCCTATACAATGGATATGGATATGCATATGTCGATTCTAGGCTATACTCCGGGAGCAATCAATCTACTCAATGCTGTTTTCAAAATGTATAAGTGGGTTATATATATATGTAATTTAGGGATGTCAAATGGGTGGTTTTGGTTGGGTTTGGTTGGGTCATAAATGGGTGGTCACATTTATGACCCTCTGCGGAGCGGTCTTGGGGCAGCTACACGCTGATAATACTGCCCTGATAAGTTCGGCGCACGGGTAGTTAGATTTGGTTTCTCGGGCATATCTTTTTCGAGACTCGTTCATACCCCCCAGCCCGATAGTACAACTCATCGATCAGATGACCGGAGCAACCTATCGTGTGTTGACATGACTCCATGGGTGGTTCATGGGTGACCCAATAACCCATTTAGTTACGATGCTTTTATATATATGTAAATTTCAGGGATCTACTTACAAACTTTCAGGGGGTTTTCTGTAGACTTGCAGGAGATTTTTGGTAAATTTTCAGGGGGGTTTCTGTAAACTTTTAAGGGTTTTCTACAAACTTGCAAGGGTTTTTTGGTAAACTTTCACCAACAGTAAAATCAGTATTAATATTGCTAATAAAATAACCATCGTACCGACACAATCACCAACTTTTAAATCGCTACCAATACCCGGTAGATAATACTTTTCCAGCCTGAAATCCAATTTCACAAGCGCAAGCACAGGCAGACAAATTATCAACGGAAAAACATCAACCTCAAAAGCTTCCTCAGTTTAAAAAAAGACGTTCTACATATAACGAAAATCAAAATGTGAAGCGCTAAGATCCCAAGTTTTATACACAGCATTACGACTAGTAAACATTATATAGATCAACATATGCTGAAAGAGATTGGTGCCTACACTCTACAATCATCATACACCAGTCAAGTGAAACCCTCACTAATACCAAAAGAAACAAGCAGCAAACAAACAGCACACTACTACAAAGTGATCAGACTTTGCAATTGCCACATAAGCATGCATATGCTATCGGCTTTTGCCGCTTTATCAGTGAGATCTTTCGGACACTTCTAAATACAAGGTTTCCACAAATTGCAGCGTTCAGGAGGTCGGTGGACGGAAGTGGCATCAAAAACTCACAAAACATGACATAGACCTGAAATAACAAACACAATCAGCGCTATATGCGGACACAACTGATGCAAGTCTGAAAAAAGCAGGTAAGGGAATGCTTGAATGAGCTAGTAATTAAAGAGAAAAAAGCAAACCTGTTTGATCTAAACACCCCTGAGAGTCTTCTACAAGCAGAGACCTTGTATAGTCCAAATTAATTAAGCTCTTAATTGCAGGTTTGTGCAGTATAACTCAAGCATCTCAAACTGGGAGATTAATGATGGTTTATTTAGACTGAAATGACGAGTACATGTTCTGAAACATCATAACGTGCAGTAGCTTAAATGATGGTGGTTATGACATTGTAAAATTTCTGTGATTAAAAAGACTCGTGAATGGATGCAAAATGATATGGAAACATCATAACGTGCAGTAGCTTAAACATCAATAAAGATTAATACCTTAATAGATGACAAATCTTCTAACAAGCACTTCACCACCCTCCTTCAGATTCAAAATTTTGAATATCACTAAAATCATGCACCAACAGATGTCCTTCTTCAATATCTTCCAAAGCTGCATTTAGATCATATGATACAACTATGTTAGTCTAATATAACACATGTACACCATAAATTTACAGAAGGTAACAAGAAAAAGTAAGCAACTTACAAGGAACCTCCTCTAACCAAGAACCAAGGCATATTTGAGCTTCGGCATTTTCCGGAAGAAGACGATTACGGTACTTATCAAGCACACGACCAGCTATGCTGAAAGCAGATTCAGAGGCCACTGAAGTAATAGGGATACTGAGTATATCACGAGCCATCATGGATAATTGAGGACGCTTCTCAGATTCTACTTTCCAATATTCAAGAACATTCAGTTTCTCATTTTTCTTCCAAGAAAGTATCTTTTCATCTAAATACTCTTCTAATTCAGACTTGGTCCTACTGACTGAAACTACTTGGCTCTCAAACTGTTCAAACTCAAGCATCTCATCATCACGAACATCTCCAAAGGCCTCTTCCGAACTACTACTGGTCATGCATATATCATTTGATGCTCTCTCATATTCTTTGTAAAGAAGCTTTAACTTATCCAAGAGAGTCACCACATGAGTAGAACCAAGACCCACTTTTTGAAAACAAAACTCTACATATTTCACCTTATAACGGGGGTCTAAGACGCATGCAAAGGACAAAATCTTGCTATAACACTTCCAATATTTATTAAATATTTTCTCCATATCACTTGCCGTGGATTTTATGTCTTCATCTTCAATTGTCATCTCTTCCTTTATGCATTTTTGTATCTTCCAAACTCCACCAAAATACAAGTTAGAAGTTGGGTATTTACTTCCAGAAAAAAGAGTGCACACTTCATAAAAAGGTTTCAAGAACTTTGCTATTTTTTCAGCCTTTACCCATTCTTCAGTTGATGGACAAAATGTAAAATTTGAATCGATTACCTTCAATTGCTCAAATGCCCGACGAAAAGGTAAAACACTCTCCAACATTAAAAAGGTGGAATTCCACCTATTGGACACATCTTGTTGAATTTTCTTTGCACTAACTGAACAAGTTTGTTCGATACACTCTGCAAATTTTTTCTTCCTTCCAGGAGGACTCTTTACATATTTAATGCATTCTCTAAACTTGGATAAAGATTTATCAATTATTTTTAAACCATCTTGTACAACAAGATTTAAAATGTGAGCACAACATCGTACATGCAAAAATTCACCATTGGAGACAAAATGCTCCTTTAAAGCAGGATGGTCTTTCAAAATCTTCATAAAAGCATCATTATATGATGCATTATCCAATGTAACAGTGAAAATTCTTTTTTCTATGCCCCACTCCTTCAGTAAATGAAATAGCTTCTCTACTAAAATTGCCCCACTATATGGGGGTGAAACATGAGACAAAGCTAATATTTTGTTTTGCAAGATCCATTGCTCATCAATGTAATGTGCAGTAAGAGACATGTAGTAATCTGATGTTGAAGAGGTCCACAAGTCTGTAGTTAGACTGATTCTGCTAGGAACTAGCTTCAAAGTTTGTTTAAGAATTCTTTTTTCTTTCTGGTACAACTTAAGCAAGCTTTAGTGGTGTTCCTTGAGATATGCTTGACTTCAGGATTTAAAAATGTATGTAATTTGCGTATCCCTCGATGTTCCACAAAACAGAACGAATAACCATGCAATGCAATGACCCTAGCCAACATTTCTCTGTAATTATCTTGATCTAATGGCATGGTTTTCCACGATGAATCAGCCTCATCTATATCTCGTTTTGGGCAAGAATGAATATGCCTCAACATATTTGTGGTATCATAACCACTAACATAAACTTGGTCACATTTCTTGCACTGAACTTTAGCTTTCCCATCACTATCAACAGGCAACTCAGTAAAATACTCCCAAACTTTTGATTTTGCTCTTCTTTTACGTATAGATATAGTTTCATTACCAGATTCACTACCATCATCGCATGCAGTAAATTCATTCAAAGACATAGTAACTGAAACAAGAAAAATAACTTTTTATTATCAAATCAAATGTCAAAAGTTAATAAAATAGCTTCGTATATAACAAATAACTACAATAAGAAAAAGAACCCTACCCAACAAATTCCAACACAAGATCCATGTCAATATTTTGTTTCTTGCTACGGGAGTTACAGATGTGAAGAAGAATCCATGTCAACTTTTTATTATCAAATCAAATGTCAATATTTGGTGAAACGTATGTTTCAGATAGTACACAAATCGTCCTTCTGTTGTCTCATAGATAGGATCTACCTCTAAATATGTTGGACAGCAATCTATCATGTGTTAGACAAATATTTATGATTTATCTAAGTGCATTAAACTTGCTTGCTTATGCAGGTTAGAAGAAGAATTTATATAGACGAGTTCAACTAGTTTGCGTACCACATGAAGGGAATTTGCATGTGTGGATCTGGGTAGACATCATTATCAGAAAATATAATACATGGTAGCCCATGAATCAGACTCGTGTTTTCCTTTTTAATTAAAAAATTAATTGATTCACCAGATTTGGTAGATTAACAGTAACTCCATTATATTTTTCTGGAAACAGAAGTTCATATAATATTCTCAGTTTCAATAGTCTTAAGCACAAACTCACGGGTATTGGTAGCGATTTAAAAGTTGGTGATTGTGCTGGTACGGATGGTTATTTTATTAGCAATATTAATACTGATTTTACGGTTGGTGAAAGTTTACCAAAAAACCCTACAAGTTTGTAGAAAACCCTTTGAAAGTTTATAGAAAGCCCCCTGAAATTTTACCAAAACCCCCATGCAAGTTTACAGAAAACCCCTGAAAGTTTGCAAGTAGATCTCTGAAACTTACATATATATAATAAAAGCATCGTAACTAATTGGGTTATTGGGTCACCCATGAACCACCCATTTAGTAAATGAGTGGATGAGAAGTGACACATTTATAAATGGGTCATAAATGGTCAAGTGACATAAATGTGCCCACCTATTTATGACCCAACCAAAACCACCTATTTGACATGCCTATGCAATACAAAGCTGAGAAACTAAAACATTTTACAAGGGAGAAATAAATTAGAAAATAGAACCTGAGGACGTCTCTTCAGCGAGCTCAGCGGATTAAAACTTCAGAGCTCGATCAAAGGCCTGATCAAGAAACCCTAAAATTGAAAGGAGACAGGATTAAGAAACCCCAAAATTAAAAGGAGGCAAGATCAAGAAACCCTACTAAGAATGTACCTCAAAATCCAGTGATTAGCTCGATCAAAGGCCTGAATTTGAACAAGAAAGACGCTCGAACCCTAATCATTGCCTCCACAAGTTGAAGATTCGATTCTCCTGTTGATCGAGAGGAACTATGACTCGATCGGAGAGAGATGAGGAAGCTCGATACTCTCCGCTGAAGGTAATCGATCGCTTGGGAACTATGACTCGATCGGAGAGAGATGAGGAAGCTCGATACTCTCCGCTGAAGGTAATCGATCGCTTGAGAGGAGAGAGATCGAGGAAATAGGGCTCGAGCGTTTGAGAAAGAGGGGAGAAAGGAGAACGGAGAACGCGTGTTTATGGATCAGATTGGGTTGGTTATGGGCGGGTTTGGTTATGAACCATTGGAGAACGGAGAACGCGTGTTTATGGATCAGATTGGGTTGGTTATGGGCGGGTTTGGTTATGAACCATTTAGTCTATAGGGAAGCAATACCCACCCATTTAGGACCCGCTTTGTTAAGTGGGTGGGTATAGTTGGACTATTTTGTGAGTGGGTATGGGTGGATTATTGGGTTTGGGTCTAGATTGACACCCCTAATGTAATTTAAGTATAGTTAAAGAAAAAAAGGTTCATAAGTTTCATCTAGTCTCTAGGCTTTGATCCTTTGGACAATTGGTTGGAGGGTTCTAGTTGTAGCTACAGCTAGCTCCTATATAACTCCCCACATGATTACAAAGTACTAGGAGAAGAAATTTATTGCGATTGCAAATTGCTAGTTCATCAAGGAAGAGTGTCACGTTACAATCCTGGAGAACAAGATAAACATGCTACATATTGAAGATTTCCGAATAATTGGTGTGCTTGAGCAATGAGCATGTGCACACAGTAACCTATAGTCTTGCGCAATAAAATAAATTTGGATGGACTACTAAAATGGGTGTTTTATCAAGAGAAGGGAAAGACATCAAACCAGGAAGTAGTCCTTTCCCTCTTTGTAGACTGTACACCAATTTTATATTTGTTCATATTCACATAAACCTGACAAATGACCTAGCAAAAGGGTGGATAGTATTTGATGTTTTATTAACAAATTAGTAACTAATGAGCGAGTAGACTTCGCAGCAGTCTAGTTTAAGAATCGATAAATAGTTCGATCATATGCACTAGCCAATCGTGTCCGGTAGTATATGTGCATGATGTGAACATGTAGGATTTCTAACCCGGAACTTGGACGCTGAACTTAAGAACTTGGACACTCAGCGGCTACCCAAGCAAAAGTAATTAGGAAATTGCTGGCCCAAGTGATCTCTATAAAGTGTTAAAAACAGTTCTCCAGAGCATTTCACGAGCAAAAGAAGCAACACTTTAGGACTATATACTAGTTAAGTGTTCCCTAGCAGCTCTCTGTTGTGAAGGTATTCTACTCAGACTTTGTTGCCAACTTTAAGATTCTGGTGAATTTTAATATGGTGAATTTTATTAAATTTTTAGATATTTTTTGAGTTGGGATGTTACAAAATGAAATAGAGCGGTATGTGAGGCTACATCTCCTATAATTGATATCTGAAGAATTTAAGATTTTTTGAAGTAAGCGCGCACATGCAATTATTCGATTGTCTTTGATATTCAAACTGTCTTCCAATTTTGTACCTTGAAATTAGTGCCATCTTCATGTCGATAACTTAGATTGCTAACTTCTTGCTTTCTTATTTATGTGAATGAGTTTTTGCTCTCACCATATGTGTGTATTTGTATTTGGTACTGCATGATTACGAATAAGTGTACTAAGGGTTAGACACATCCACGTATATTGGATGGGAAGACTAAAAATAAGTATTACTATAATGTGAAGGTTTAATGATCACCAGTTCAATATGACTTGACTACCCATGTTTACCACAATTAATGGAAGTGCTAGAAATATTAAACAAAGGGTCAATTTTGCTCGAGACCAACTTTGTTGGAACTAAGATGACAAGTCCAAATAATAATTGAATATCCAAACTTTCCTGGGTCATGAATAAAGATAGGTATAAATTTAACAAATGTTTTATTATAGATGAATTGAAATTTGTGTTTATTACTATGTATGGAGCTGCCAAGATTTTAAGTATTGGACATCGGGAAAACATTGGATGACCAAAATTCATATCGGATTGCGGATATATGGGAAATATCGAGGATATATGTAGTAAATATCAAAATGCCATAAGAGATGTTTGCATATATAGTATAATGCACTAAAATGTAATCCCAACATACTTAATGAAATCTAAGCATATAAAATGTAAATAATATATGTTTAGGATTACTATTCAACGTTGTAAAAAAATAAAAGTACAAATCAATGGTGCAATATTTGGGCAAAATGTCATTTGATATAATGTGAAAATCATGATATCTTGCTCAAAAATTGCCAAACGCGGTATATTATTTTGCGACAAGCCATCTAAAAAGATATATTAGTCCACATATCAGTTAATATACCAACCATATCGGGCATTTATCGCCCAAAATAGCTAAAAAACCGTAAAGAATATTTAGAGACCATATCAGTTGCGGCAAGCCCTGTAAAAGGATATATCGGGAGATATATCGAGCCATGTCGGGGATATTTAAAACAATGGGAGCTGCTAACCAGCCACCATGAGTTATATTGATCATATTTGCAAACAGTGATGTATTTAGAAGAAATAAAAAATACCAATGATGAAGCTATTAATCAAATGAGAATGTGAATTTCGAGGATGAAATTCCTTTAAGGGAGGAAGAATGTAATATCACTAAAATTTCGTGAGGCTTATTATTTAAAAAGGTTTAATGATAAGTTGAAAGATGAGTAAAATATAATATGATGCATTTCAATTGTGAATAGTGGAATAAAATTTTAGCAGTTCAAATGATCAACAACAGTCATATAAGAGTTTATGTCGTTATTGCAGTGCGGAAGTTGATAATTTGTATGCAAGGATATGGTAGCATTTAGCTATCGGTAAAAAAAAATTTAGGCTTTTATGTTAATCCTCATTTAGAAAAAACGAAAAGAGACAACTAAAAAAAATGGTACACCAACTGATCAAGAGTAAGGCATTGCTGTGATGGACATGTACCGAGAAGGGCCTTAGGAGTGCATGCCACAAAAGAAAGAGTGGTCAAAAGGAAAAAAATTACCATGGAATTAAATAAATATAAACTAAAGCCACGTAACTGATGACACATGAGGCATCCCATGCGATGGATATGCATCGGTCCATTCTAGGCTATACTCGGGAAGCAATCAACCTACTCAAGGCGATTTTCAAAAAGTATAAGTGGGTTATATATATAATTGAAGTGTAGTTAAGGGAAAGAAAAAAAAAGTTCATAAGTCTCATCTAGTCTCTAGGCTTTGATCCTCTGGACATTTCGTTGGAGGGTTCTAGTTGTATTTATAGCCAGCTCCTATATAATTCCCCACACGAGGAGAAGAAATTTAGGGGCTGTTTGGATAGGTTTTTTTGGATGGTAAAAAAGGAGAAAGCTGTCAAAAATATCAGCTTTTTGGCAGCTTTCCCTTAAAATCACCTTTTTAAGAGGTGATTTTGGGGGAAAGCTGCCAAAAAGCTGATATTTTTGACAGCTTTCTTCACTTTTACCACCCAAAAAACAGGAACCAAACAACCCCTTATAGTGATTCTGAATGCTAGTTCATCGTGAAGGAGTGTTACGTTACAATCCTACCAATCCTATTGGTTCGTAGGGTGGAGAACAAGTAAGCACACTACAGATTAAAGATTTCCGAATCATTGGTGTGCTTGAGCATGTGCACATTGTAACCTAAGTCTTGCACAGGTAAATAAAAGTTTGCACGAACTAACAAAGCAGGTGTTTTGTCAAGGGAAGGGAAAGATATCATACCTGTAAGTAGTCCTTTCCCTCTTTGTAGACTCTACAACAATTTTATATCTGTTCATATTCATATGAACTTGACAAATAACCTAGTAAAAGGATGGATTGTCTTTGATGTTTTATTAACAAATTAGTCACTGATTGGTGACTATATTTTGTAGCTGTCTGATTTAAGAAACGGTAAAATGTCCCATCGAACACACTAGCTAATCGTGCCCGGTAATATATATGCGCATATGATGTGAACATGTAGAAATTCTAATCCGGGACTTGGACGTTGACTTAAGAACTTGGACACTTAGCGGCGACTCAAACAAAAGTAATTAGGAGATCGCTGGCCCAAGTGATATCTAGATATAAAGTGTTGAAATGATTCTCCATAGCATTTCACGAGCAAAAGAAACAACACTTCAAGGCTATGTAGTAGTTAAGTACTTAAGTGTGCCCTAGCAACTCTCCGTTGTAAAGGTATTTTGCATAGATTCTACTGTCAACTTTAAGATTCTGAGAGTTACATATGCAAGTACAAGTCCTACACATGAAGTTCAACTGTCCCCTTATTAGTCACTGGATTGCTAAAATCACAACCATCCATGTGATATATGCGAATGGCTCAGAATTTGGGAGATTCACTCTCTTCATCTAGATTATTAGATGAACAAATGTAGATATATAACTAAATTTGCGACTTGAATAATTCATATTGTCAAGCTCCCAAAAACTTGAAATACGTCCAATTCTAGCTATAATTGTGATTCGACTAATTCATATCCCTAGCTTCCAGAAGCTTGAATACGTCCAATTCTATCTATAAATATTGTTGTTCTCTAGCGACAAAAGCAAGCAAATAAACAAAGAAGTGAGGGACAATGGAGGGAGCATCAACAGAGCAGGTTCTTGCCACTGAGGAAATGTTGGCAGCACAAATGCAAGTGTTCCATCATGCGATGGGTTATATTGGATCAATGTCGCTCAAGTGTGCTGTTGAGCTCAATATACCCGATATAGTCCATGCATATGGCCTCCTATTTCTCAATCTGAGCTCCTCTCTAAACTCCCCAGCATCCCTCAAACTAAAATCCTTTTCCTTAATCGAATCCTATGACTTCTTGCTCAAAAGGGCTACTTCAAAATCCAAAACGAAAATGTAGAGGAATGTTACTCCCTCACCTCTATTTTGACAGTCCTAAAAAATAGCCCCATCAACGTCTTCTCATGGATTATTGACATGGTAAACCCGCCAGTGAAGTTGCACCAAAATCTGATCGAATAATTGAAGTCTGAGCAACCAGGTTGCCCTCATGAGCTTGAA